TTCAGTTGTTTGCTACTCAATCAATTTAAACAGTTTACAGTATTGATGCATATAATTTTGACCTATGGACTACTTGCAGTGGTATTACCTAGGAACTTTTAAACATGCAAAATTTCAGTTTATACTTCAGACTTACTGAGTCAAAACATGCATTTGTTTATGTATTTTTTGCCATTCTAAGAAGTGTTCAGTGGTATCTCATTATTTTCCCTTGACTGTTATTTACAAATATTTACTGATTGTTAAATTTCATTTCTGATTACATATAAATTTGAATAATTTTTCAAATGTTTAATGCCTTTTGTATTTTTCCTTCTCTCTGTTAATTTTTTTTAAAATACTGATTATTGCATTTATGCAATACTACCATGACTATCTTTTTTTTTTTTTTTTTTTAGCTTTTAACACCATCTGCCCTGGGTGCCAGGGCAACAACTGGGTTTAAAATCCAGCATAACCTGAATGGGGACATGCTGGACCTGATAATGAAGGAAAGACACTCCACCAGAAGAGTTGCTTGAATTGGCCAGCATGTACTGGTAGGTGTCAAAGAGTACCACTGGCATTGGATTATTATTTTTTTTGTAGTTCTGTCGTCCCCACTGTTTGCCTCTGACAACAACCAGTCTGTTCTCTATATCTGTGAGCCTGTTTTGTTCTGCTTTGTTTTGGATTTTAAGATTCCACATTTACAAAAGGTGACAATGGCGTTTCTCTTTATCTGTCTGACTTATTTCACTTTGTAAGATGCCCTTGAGGTCCATCCATGTCGCAAATAGCAGGATTTCATTTTTTTATGGCTGAATAATATTACCTTGTACATACATACCACAATTTTTTTATCCGTTCATCCATTGATGGACACTTAGATTTTTTTCCATATCTTGACTATTGTAAATAATGCTGCAGCATACATGGGGTGATTACATCTTTCCAAGTTAGTGTTTTTATGTTCTTCAGATGAATACCCAGGAGTGGAGTTGCTGGATCGTATGGTACTTTTGCTTTTATAGTTGTTTGAAGAACCTCCCTTTATTGTACTGTTGTATCTTGTTCAGTCATCTTTCTAAGTGCTACCTTAATATCATCTATGTTGATACCAGTTGGACTTACCCATTTTTTTCCAGTTGACATGCAATCGACAGAGAAATTTTGATTTCTTTAATAGCTCCATGTTCGAAGTAAGGTCAGAGCCCAGTAACTATTTCTGTAAATTTTCTATTTGTTAAACTACATGCTTACAAGTACAAGTACAGTGACTGTCTCACATGTCGAAGGACCTGCAGTGCCGTGGTGGCTGAGGTCAATGGGTAAAGAGGACACATTTTGGACTTGACTTTAAAAAATCTGTGTTCTGCTAATTGTTTTTGTGGCCTAGTTAAGTAATTTTAGATTTCTGAGATTCCACTTCTTTACCCATAAAATCTAATTATGCATACTTTGTGGATATGTTAAAGAATAACTTACGGTATTTGACAGCGGTCAGTAGCACAGGCTTTGAGGACTAGCCAGACCTCAAGGGGAAACCTGGTTCGGAAGGCTGCTGCCACCTGTATAATCTTGTGCAGATCAAACACTTCCAAGCACTTCAGTTTCCGCAGGGTAAAATGCGGATAATAACCTTTGTCTCATATAGGTATTGAAACTATTAAACCAGATAATGTGTGTCAAACACGCCCCATTTTTCCATTATAGTCTTAAATAGTATCCATAATTATGTTAACTTCTAAAGAAGGTCAGTTTACGTTAACTTTTTTCTGCCGTCATTTTCCCTTCCTTACACTTGCTGTGCTGCACAGATCGGCTTCAGGAGCTCTGGTTTCAAGTGTTGTTCTGATGACTTCTGGCCCTGTGTCAATACTATTTCTGGATTTGATGTGTTATTTATGGAACTGGAACCATAAAGCTCAGGTGAGATGAAGGATGTTAAAATGCTGTGACAACTCTAAAATGATATAAATAATGTGAGTTGTTTATTAAGTTATATTGCAGATGATAATTGGTCATCTACCTATTCCTTCAGCAAATATTTATTGAATATATAAGAAGTTCTAGGCATTGTGTTGGATACTCAGGAGTGATGCAGACAGCCTCTGCTTTAAAGGGGCCACAAACTAGCGGATGATGCAGTCACGTGCACGGCGTCTGCAGCGGTGTGATGTGTTCGTGGTAGTGGTAGGCGCACTTGACTGAAGGATAGCTCTCCATTGAGTACGGACAGAATTCTTCTGCCTGAATTCAAATGAAAATATTGCAATTGAAGGATGATTGTTCTCTTTTCAATGGTCAATTCTGGTTTTCCCTCTGTGGTAGTTAATTTTATGTGGCCATTTGATGGGGCAATGGAGTGCCCAGACATTTGGCCAAGCGTTATTCTGGGTGTGTCTGTGGGGAAGTTTCTGTATGAGACTAACATTTGAATTGGTAAATGGAATAAAACAACCTTCCCTGTTGTGGGTGGGCCTCATCCTATCAGTTGAAGATCTGAATAAAAGAAAAGGGCTAAGTAAGGAGGAAGTCCTCTTCCCTGACTAAATGAGCTGGGACGTTGGTCCCTTCCAGCCTCCGGACTCAGACTGCAACACTGGCTCTCCTTGCATGTTGATCCTGCTGGCTTTTGGTCTGGACCATGTACCATAGGCTCTCCTGGTGCTCTGGCTTGCTGACTGCAGATCTTGGGACTTCTTGTCCTCCGTAATCACATAAGCCAATTCCTTATAACACACATTTGTGCACACACACTCACTCTACTGGTTTTATTTCTCTGGAGAACTTAGCCTAATTCACCCCATTTTTAACCCACTCTCTTACTGTGTCTCCCCTCTAATTCCCCTACCCTTCTATGATAGGGCAGATCCATTAAATAACTGCTCAAAATAAGATGGTTTCAGAGCTAATTCAGATGAAACTATTTTCCTTGGCAGATGTGGGACTATAGAAGAATTGAGGGGAAAAAATGATGTGTGTGCCAGTTATTCAATATGTTTGTCCAACTTTTTTTTCCTCCAGCAAAATGCGTTGAGGCCCTATGCCATTCTGAACTCTACTGGTATCTTGTAATTTGCCTTTTCATCTATACCTGCCCAGGAAATGATGACCTTTTATCTTTAACTTCAAAAGACATATTCTTAACTTAGCTCTATCCCCAGGTAAAAATTACACAGAATCTGCTGAACTACCACTGATGTAAGAAACACTGATGCAAAAGCCGTTAGCTTCTTAGTCATATCCTTTTATTATTATGTTTGTCTTCATGGTTCAAAAGATGCCAAATGCAAAGTTTACAGCAGTGGCTGATGGAGAGATTCTTTGCCAGCAGCAAAATAGTTCAAGTGAGTTGTAAAATCTGCATGGTCAAATTGAATTCAGAGAAAGTTTGACTCACTCCTAGAGGCAATGATTAATTTCATTACGGGGGGGGGGGGAAGTCCGCCAAGTTAGTCTGTCAGTCACAATGTCTAATTTCATTGAAATGCTTAAAAAGTTATGGGATAAAAAGCTTAGTTCTTTGTGAATTTTCAGATACTGTCAGTGGCAGTAGAACACAAACCACGCACTAGCAGTTGACTGTATATGAAATAGATTAGGGTACGCAATTGTAGCAAGGATTTATTGTCTAGACTTAACCACTAAGCAACATTTTCAAAAGGGTCGCCCTGGGGCCTAATGTCTACAAGAATGCATTCAATACATATCTTTCCTTAAATAATATATGGTGTTTTTGAGCATTATGCTTAGAGTTTAGAATCACCATCCAAAAAAAAGTGAGAAGATAAATTATATAAAACTGAATTTTAGAGAAGGGAAGTAAGAGAAAGAAGGGAAACTGTGAAAAGGTGTTTTTCATTTGTACTTTATTCCTACAGCATTAATCATTAATTTTGTGTGTGTGTTCATTATACAGAGGAAAAAACATTGAGGTAAAAATGTCTGAGAGACCTGTGTCATTAGAAGTGAGAGCTTTGGCTAGACAGTATCAGTATTTCTGGTAGCTCTGGAATTCTAAGTGTTTTTCATCATGTAAGACTTCATTCATACAGAAGTGTCAGTGTTTGAATTTCTTTACCTGGACTGCTGAGTTTCAAATTATTGTATGGCCAACAAAGTTTATTCTTGAAAGAAAACGAAGATACAGTCTATAAAATAGAGAACAATTATATGCTGGCTTAATATATCTTAAGTCATGATTTCATTAGTAAAAGCATTCTTATATGAACTGGCATGATATTTGCAAATACCAAAATCCTCTTTGATTGTAAGGCATTATTACCTTTAAAAATTCAGAGGGATATTTTAAAGGTTTATAGCATTAAATAATATGTATCTGTCTTCCAGGGTCAATATTAAATTTGGGTTGCAAAGTTTTGTTTTTTTTTTTTAACAAAACATGCTTTATTTAGTGAAAACTGGTGAATGTGGGAAGGGCATGATAGAAAAGTACAAGGGCTGGAAATGAAAGGGTCAGGGGTCACACGACAGGGACATAACAACTCAGGATGGAGGAGCCAGAGATCAGAAGACTTGGAGGTGGGTGGTTGGTTCTTTGATAACTTGTTGCCTGCTCTCCTAGGGGCTACATGAGGCTCAAAAGCCCCTGGGGGTTCCAGAGGCCTCACCATCACAGGAAGGCTTGTCCCTGCGAGCCTAGGGAGGCCCTGCCTCCCAAAACAGTGGAAACTCTTGGGGACAGGATAAAAGCATCTGGATAGCAAGCAGCCTTCACACTGGGCCCACAGGTCAAGGGTTGGTCTGAGATGGGGATGTCCAGGGTGGAGAAAGAGCCAGAAACTTGGAAGCATCACCTCTTTGGTTCCATCACCCAAAGGTGAGGAACAGCAGTAGCAGAGCCCAGGTGGGTTACCAAATGGATTAACGACGCCTGCCTTCTCCCAAAATAAAAAGCAAAACCAACCCCAAAGCTGTCATGGATCACCACCTCCAGGGTTCCATCTCAGCGGTTAGGCTCCACTGCCTAGGGAGCCCATACTCCCCTACCCAAATTAGACGCAGTTCTTAGTGGGGCACTCAGAGGGACCCCGGGAGGTGGTATGTGGGGCTGATGCCGAGTATTGGGCCATGTAATTGCTGGAGCCCTGGGAGCCCCAAGAGGGGCAGGTGTAGCACAGTAGCTCCCCACCCAGCAACAAAAGGCCGGAGGCACCCCAGCCCACATAGAGGGAGGCTCCCAGCTCCCATTTTTGGGTCTCAGCCACCAGGGCATTGTAGAAGTCTCGAATGATGGTGTTGGCTGTCCAGCACACGGGTATCAGGGTCCGGATCCCCGAGATGACAAAGATGATCCCTGAGGTGAGCACCAGTCGGGCCTTTGAGTCCTTGTCCATCACGCAGGTGGTGCACTTGGCTCCCACAAGGTAGATCAGGAAGCCGAGCAGGGCCATAACAGAGTGATGACGCTGAGGGCTCGGGCAGCCTGCAGGTCCTGCGGCAGCGCCAGTAGTGAGTCAGACACCTTGCACTGCATCTGGCCTGTGCTCTGCACCATGCAGGACAACCACGTCCCCTCCCACACCACCTGGGCCACCACGATGCTGTTGCCGATGAAGGCAGTCACTTTCCACAGGGGCAGGGCACAGGACACCAGGGCATTCACCCAGCCAAGCAGTGACAGGACGATCCCCAGGATTTGCAGACCAGCAAGGGCCACGGTGAGGTGGAGGTTGAGGAGCTGCACTGTGAAGGAGTCCACAAAGATTCGAAGTAGCTGGCTGAGTGTGGGTTGCAATTTTTAGTAACTGTGGTTAGCTAATCTGGAAAAAAAGAGTGAGGAATAAGTGGGTGGTTCCTTTTCCATTCAAATTTTAAATAAATTTTTCATGAAAGAATTTTTATGTCATTCTAAAAATTTATGTTAATGTATGTCTGGCAAGAATGTATGAACATTTGCATTAAAGCAGGAAGTATGGTAGATTAAGGATGGAAAAGAGCAGAAATTTTAGGTTCCAGAAAAAAATATGTTGTTTCTGTTTGATTTCAAAGTCACAGTAACAATGATGCAAAAAGTGGCAAGTGTGAGTCCTGCAACTTTATTCTTCTTTTCGAAGATTGTTTTGGGTATTCAGGTTTTCTTGCAATTCACATGATTTTTAGGATCATTGTGTTAATTTATGCAAAAGGGGAGTTAGGATTTTGAAAGGGAGTGCATTGAATCTGTAGATCAGATTTGGGGTGTTTTGCTCTTTCAGTCGTATTTAACCTCATCCATAAACAGGGGCTATCTTGCCTTTTTTTTTTAAACAATGCTTTAAAAGATTTATTTTCTCTCTAAATGTTTGTATAGGAAAGGGTAGCATTTATTTTCACTTACAACAAGCATTCTGTTCCTACAATAGCAGAGTTTGTAAAAAAAGATCAACCTAGCAACAAATCTTTTCTCTTCCCCTTGTAAGACAAGGCATGTGCCCAGTGAAATGAAAATGAAACTGTGGCAAAAAAGTGACTTTCACTTTAAGGATTCACTTTATTACCAGAAAACTCAGGGATCTGAGCCTTGGGACTTGAGGGCCCTAACACCTTCTAGTGTTATCCGAGGGGCACAAGGACCAGATCACCTAGTTGGGTCCTTCTCTTCCTTCCCATGAACCAAGCAGTCCAGGAGGCAGTGAAGACACTGACATTTCTGGGCACTGAGCATGACCTTCTTCCCTTCAAACAGGAGTTTTCTCTGGAAGTATTCTGTGCTTAAGTGAGGAAAATAGTAACACCTCATGTTTTATTATAGTTTTGTAGCTTTCCAAGCATTTTCACATGATGGATCACAGACTTGGGGGTTTCACAGACTAGTACAACTTTAAAAAGAAGAAAAATATTATCACCAGTGTATCCAGCTTTGTATTTTGTCAAATAAAGATATCTGAGAGAGAAAATGTTATTGCATACCATCACCACCACACATGAAAAGATATGATCATAGAAAAAGAGCAAGGAGGTAATTTTTTGTAAAAAAAAAGTCCTTTAGCCTAAAATTGACTTTTTGAAAAATTAATTATACTATCCTAAATTTGCTCATTTTTCTGCAAGGCTCTAAAGACTTCATCAAAGACTTTTATAACCAGCCTCTATAGGAGGCAGAACAGAAATTACTGTCCTCTTACCTGCCAAGAAATGTGGGGTAAGAGTGTGAGGTAGTAGCAAGCTCTGGTGGTGCTGCCACCGATGGACCACAAACCACATTTGAGCATCAAGACCTAGACCCTGGATGGAGTCCTGTTTTAACTATTTACCAGCTAGGAAGGCTTGGGAAACTTTATCTGAAAGCCCTAGAAAAGAGATTGCAATTCTCTTGCCCTGAAGGCCTAAAGTTTTAGTCTAGGGTCCAGGGGTAGGTGAGGTTTAGTTGCCTTTTCTTGACTCCCCTGCAGATTACAGTGATCTCCCCAAGGCCAGGCCATGCTGTGTCTTTCCTGCATTTCCCAGATTATAGCCAGGGGATCTATTTGCTTAGTCAGCAGAATTCCATTTGTGGTTATCATTTCCCCCATGGCTTTGGAGCCCTCAGAGAAACATTTAAAATGTGATTAGATACTGCTCTTCAGACTGGCCTGGTTAGAAAACCTATGAATTCTCCCTAGTATCTTTTAACAAATGACTTTTCTTGATTCATACTATTAGTTTCAGATGTACAACATATTGATTCAATATTTTTATAGATTATGCACTTAAAATTATTACCAAAAATACCTGTATTTCCTTTGCTATGCAATATATCCTTGTTGCTTATTTACTTAATGCATAGTAGTGTCTCTTAATCCCGTTCCCCTATCATGCCCCTCCCCCTTTCCTTTCCCCACTAGTAAGTGTGCTCTCTGTATCTGTTTCCGTCTTTAAATATATATTTATGTTTTATTTTAGATTCTACATGTAAATGGTAACAAAGTATTAGTCTTTGTCTGACTTATTTTAATACAGATAATACTATCTAGGTCCACTACATTGTTGCACGTGACATAATTTTATTCTTTTTTATGGCTGAGTAATAGTTCACTGTATATACATACTGTATCTTCTTTATCCATTCATTTGTTAATGAGCACTTGGGTTGCTTTCATATCTTGACTGTTCTAAATAATGCTGCTATGAATATTGGAATGCATGTATCTTTCTGAATTAGTGTTTTTGTTTTCTTCAGGTACATATGCAGTAATGGAATTGCTGGATCATATGATAATATGGTAGTTCTATTTTTCAGTTTTTTGATGAAATGTTTTCCATAGTGGCAGTACCAGTTTACAATCCCACTAACACTGTACTAAGGTTCCCTTTTTTCCCTGTTTTATTTGTCAACTTTTTGATGGTAGCCAATTTGACAAGTATGAGGTGATATCTCATTGTAGTTTTGATTTGCATTTCTCTGATGATTAATGATAGCATTTTTTCATGTGACTATTGGCCTTCTGTATATCTTCTCTGGAAGAATGTCTAGTCATGTCCTCTGCACATTTTTTAATCAGATTTTTTAATATTGATTTGTATGAGCTGTTTATATATTTTGGATATTAACCCCCTTATCAGTCATATAATTTGCAAATATTTTCTCCCATTAAGTAGGTTGTCTTTTCATTTTGTCAGTGGTTTCCTTCGCTGTGCAAAAGCTTTTAAATTTAATTAGGTCCCATGTGTTTGTTTGTGCTTTTATTTCTTTTGCCTTAGGAGGCTGATCCAAGAAAATATTACAGTGATTTATGTCAAAGAATGTTCTGCCTTTGTTTTTTTCTAGGAGTTTTATGGTTTCAGTTCTTACATTTAGATCTTCAATTCATTTTGGATTAAATCTCTTTAGTCTCTTATTTTATTTATTTTGTATTCTTTCTCTTTTCCTCTTGATGAACCTGGCTAAAGGTTTATCAGTTTGATTTATCTTTTCAGAAAATGAGCTCTTGGTTTCATTGATCTTTTCTCTTTTTTTTGGTGTTTGTTTAATTCCTTTCTGATCTTCATTATTCCCTTCTGTTGCCTTTGGGCTTTGTTTATTATTCTTTTCCTAATTCCTTTTAATGGAAGGTTAGGTTATTTATTTGAGATTTTTCTTTATTTCTGGAGGTAGGCTGGTTTTGCTATAAACTTCCCTTTTAGAACTGCATTTGCTGCCTCCCATAGATTTTAGAGAACTGTTTCCATTTTCATTGTCTTGAGGCATTTCCGATTTCGTCTTTGATTTTTTTATTGTCCAATTGATTTTTTTTTAGTAGCATGTTATTTAGTCTCCTTGTGTTTTTTGAGTTTTTCTTATCTTCTTCCTGTAATGGATTTGTAGTTTCATAGTGTTGTGGCTGGAAAAAAGTTTGATATGCTTTGTGTTATGTTAAACTTAAGGCTTGTGGTCTCGCAAGTGATCTGTCCTGGAGAATATTCCATGATCACTTGAAAAGAATATGCATTCTGCTGTGTTTGGATGGAATGTCCTATAGATAACTACTAAATCCAACTAGTCTTTTTTGTCAAATAGGACCTAAGACCACTGTTTCCTTGTTGATTTTTTTTTTGTCTGGATGATCTGTCCATTGATTTAAGTGGGGTGTTAAAGTCCCTATGATTGTTGTATTATTATAGATTTCTCAAATTTGTATCTGTTAAAATTTGCTTTCTATATTTCAGTACTCCTGCACTGGGTGCATATATGTTAATGAGTGTAATATCCTATCCTTGTATTGATCCGTTTATAATTGTACAATACCCTTCTTTTAATTTTGTTACTAACTTATTTTAAACTCTGTTTTGTCTAGTACAAGTATTGCCACCCCCACTCCCTTGTTCTTTCATGAAATATCTGTTTTTATCCCCTCACCCATTCTGTGTGTGCTTTAGCTCTGAGGTGAGCCTCTAATAGGCAAGATATTAATGGGTTTTATTTTTTTTATCCAATCAGCCACCCTGTGTCTCTTGACATTTAAAATGATTTTTGATAGATATGCTCTTTGCTGTTTTGTTATTTATTTTCTGGTTGTCTTTGTATTTCTTCTCTTTTTTTAATTTCTTTTAGGGGTTTTTTTTTTTTTTTTTT